CTTCAAGAGTACTACTCTCATGAAAATTACCTTAAAATAGTTTAAAGTTCAATTACTATAGCTGTTGATGTTCATAAACCCTTGCTGACCACGCAGCAGAAGTCGACCGAGCCGCAGGAGTCCTTGTTGAATGAGTATGTTGAAGCTTCATTGTCGATGGTCATTTGTATCGCTACCGTTTCGTACTCCAGGTTTCGAGATGAACCTGACCAACAGAGTAGGGAAGTTCCGAAAGAAGCACCCGAGGAAATCTGTCTTGCAGAGCAGCCTCCGAATGCCATCGTTCTTCAAAGGTCGAGGAGGCGCGTCATTCGCAAATACTCTTCCAAACCTGCAACCGCAAACGGCTCTAGCAACGGTCCACAAGGACTGCCCTCCGCCTCCGCAACTCGTGCCGACGGCGTTGTCCATGATGCCTGCAAAACGGCCAACACTCGCCGGCGGCGGACTCCATTTCAGTCATCGATGGATCATCCATCAAAACGTAAGTCAATGCGTAGGCGGAGTTTCGACTTGGACGAAATCGTCTTCGACGACAGTTATCGTCCAAAGGTAAAGAAACCTCTCTGCAAGGAAATTGCAATTCCCAAGTAAGTGTGCTGTTTCATGTTTCGATTATGACTAACACTCGGCAGAATTTATGGCATAAAATTCCGATTGTGTTTTCAATGTCATATTCATAAAAATACCATGAGTTACTTAAATGCTGGTTGATGATCTGTGAACCAAGCTTCAACTAAACTGATCATTCAATGTGGAAAGTACTTATTTGGCTTCATAAGCAATGACCATTCTCAATAAAACATTGCCTTCAAGAATGTCAGCATGTTGCTAAATTTTTCGATAAAATCATGAGATGCATCTGTGCATTAGAGGTGCAAAAGACACGTGAAATCGTGGTTTGTTGAAACTTTCCCTAGGGATACGAGAATAACCCATAGTTTTACAGCGACATATAACCTGATTTGCTATAATAATCCATTTTAATCCGACAAACGCTGTCTCACCAGAGCATCCGGTTGATTTTTGAGTACATCATTGTATATTTTATTTTACAGGTCATACTTGATATCATTTTGCGTTACGAATATCTTAATGGAAATGATTGAAATTGTGAATCACTGAGTCATATGCGTTCTTCCTCCAGTGATCTGAAGTGACTGCGCATCAGCTGTTTTACGGATTGGTCCCACCAGGTGCCATGCAGAGCCATTTTATGTCTTCTGCTGCGACAAAATTAGTGTCATATTCGTTTTCTACTTTGTGCCTCGCTTGAGTGCTACATTTCAATTACCGCCATGGACATTATCACACTGCCCTCCATTTTCAGACAGGATCAAGATATCCTCATCAACCAAGGCCCTTTGGTCTGCTTTTGAAATACAGTTATATTTAGAATATGCGTGAAAGACGATACAAATTTTTGTTCAAGAACAAAACAGCTGAATGCGGGCATCATTTCGACTTTTCCTAGATGGTATTCGTTGTACTTTCGCTTCCTGTTCAGTGTAATGCTATTCATGTACATGCGGTCATTATTCTAATTAAGAGCATCATTTTTGTGGAGCTGCCTGACAAATACAGAAAGGTTAGTTGAGGAACCTACCGAATATTGCAGGAAGTCACTTATGCCGCCAGGTGGTCCTCCTGAAGAACATTGAATGCAGAAAATTGAGGTTTAATTTTTTTGATTACTTCGAATGCACTGCAAATGTTAACTAACTAGCTTACTATCTGCTATCGTCCCTTTTTCTCTTTAGCTGGCTGTTGGCAGTCACAATCGACGATGACGTGTTAAACGAGGACTCGAACGACTATGTGAGCTACGTCCGTGTGCAACTACGTCTTAGCAGGTTTCTTATTTAGACAGAAGATATAGAAGATATGTCTGACGAAGCGTTCATGAAGCGTCATAGGCCGTTGGAACTGAACGAGAGAAGACTACTTCAGCTTAATATTGTCTCCGGCGCGCGTCGCAAAAAGCGGCATAAACCCAGCGTTCCACGCACTAGTAATTCTACCAGTCCAGTAGTTAAGCGAAGCCAGTCTGAGGGTACTGAGACCGAGGCACGGTCTTTGGCCGCGACCGATCGCGCTGATCACAATTATGTGAAAAGAGCGTAGAATTTTGTTTGGCGTGATCATTGATGAGTACTGGCGTTGGCATTAAAGTTTTGTGCGTCATACATACATACATACATACATACATACATACATACATACATACATACATACATACATACATACATA